GTTAAATTATAGTTTGCATTTTAATGTGGAATCAATGTTGAAAAAGTGATATGTTTTTCAACCACAATCCTATTGTTTATTGAACATTTTTTAACGTTAAATAAACATTGCAAATATGTTGAGATTTTAAAGTTACAGTATCAACATAAGTTAATGTTTTTCAGTGTCAAGTTAAAATTTTGTTTTTACTCAACTTTAATTCAACACTGAATTCACTTTGAAATCTGGTTGAAACTTTAACATAACAATACAATGTTAAGTCTAAATATAATTGTTATTTCAATGTAGAATCAACGTCCATTAATTTAACTCAAAATTATTTCAACAATAACATTTAAAACTGGTTTGGATATTAAAATTACAGTAACAACATTAGTTCAACGTCTTTTCAATGTAATGTTAAAATATAGTTTATATTTTAATGTATAATCAACGTTCAATGTTACCGTATGTTTTTTCAATTAAAACCTTGTTTATTCCACATTATTTAACTTTATATAAACGTTGGAAATATGTTGAGATAGGCTAAATTTAAATTTAGCCTAAGTCCAAAATCTTTTCAACGTCAACGTAAAATTGCATTTCAATGTAGAATCAACGTTAAAAATGTGTTATGTTTTTTAACCAAAGACCTATTGTTTATTTAACGTTTTCTCAACGTTAAACCCACCCATTATTTACTCACCGTTGTTTCAACAATAAATAAATGTTGAAAATTCTGGTTGAGATATTAAAATTTCAGTAACAAAATTAATTCAACATCTTTTCAATGTCAAGTTAAAATATAGTTTTTATTTTAACGTATAAGCAACATTTAATATAAGTTTTGTTTTCAACCCGGAGTTTAAGATTTTACCAAATTTTATTTCAACAATGAATTAACTTTGAAATCAGGTTGCGATTTTAACATAACAATTGCAATAGGCCTATATTTATTCAATATTTTTCCAACGTTAATTTAAATATAGTTTTTATTTCAATGTAGAATCAACATTGAAAATGTGTTATGTGTTTCTACAAAGTAGGCCTACCCATTATTTACTCAACATTATTTCAACGATAAAAACGTTGAAAACTGGTTGAGATATTAAAATCACAGTAATAACATAATTTCAACATCTTTTCAATGCCAAATTAAAATGTAGTTTGTATTTTAACGTATAATCAACATTTAGAATGTTATTTTTTTCAACCAAGTTTAAATTTCTTTAACTCAACCTTAACTTGATATGAAATTTCATAGAAATAATTGTACAAGATTTATTAAAGTTTACCTCCATGGTGGTGTATAAAAAAATTCATAGGCCTATTATGAGAGCATATATGAGCTTTAATCATTATGGTAATTACATTAGTTCTCTGTCCTTGAAAGTGTGGCAAGTAATGGGCTAATCGGATTAGGTCATTAGGTACAGACCAATCAGAAACAAATGCTCATTTTTTGAAGTATCATCTCAGTTGCTGTAAAGCTGTTTACACAGTTTACATACTAAAGAATTTCAGCATTATCAGATAAATGGTAGGAACTTTATATTTGTATACTATATTAGAGGGTGTATCTAAACTAGCCCAATATCGTAACTGTATAGGCTTGCTTTATATATATTATATGGTTATCTTTTGTTCTAGCTACGATACTCCAGCCAGCCCTCTGGCCCTATAGCTAGTAGAAGAGACTAGGCCTAGACTAGAGTACTGTTGTAGGGTAGTGTAAAGGCATAGTTGGGATAATTTTACTTGTTTGGGCTACACTACAAGTTGCATGTGTTGGCTAAGTTTAAATTATTAGCGGTAATTTTTAATCGCCTAGGCCTAGACCTTTCTTTGCAAAATGGCCACGTCCTGTGTTGAATGCTATAATAGGTCTATATTAAATTAAATATAATGTTAAAATGTGGTTGCATGGAAGCGCAAAAATAAATAAAACAGCTAGGCCTAGGCCTATTATGTGTGTTTAATAATTCATCTCATATCATGGGCCTACATACTGCCAGTGGTATAATAGCCACATCACTGTCATTTCATCAGTAATCATTTATGTTTTTTGAAGATGTTAATAATGTAAATTTTTATATTTTCTTTCAATAAAGAGAAAAATTAACAATAGGCCTATATCTTTTGATAATAACATTTGAGGCTATGGTTAGCGTAATGAATAATAGAAATATAAAAATAGATAAAATAATATTCGTGTATGAATCGATAAATACCAGTGCTCAAACATGATGTTATAAATCGTATCAAACAGTTCATCAACGGAAGTTCCTTATTATAGTTGTATGAAAGAGGTCTCTGGTTTTTATATGTGTGCGTTGTTGCTGTTTGAAAATTGAATATACAGTACAGTACCACTATTTTCTATGACTTGTCATCCTTACAAACTTCAAAATAGATCCGTAAGTGCTGAAACAACGCTACTGACTCTGCAGTCTGTCTCAATTTGTAATTTGTTCAATCTGTCAAGCCTGCATCTGTTACGTTTAACAAAGGACAATACCAGCATTAATTTCATTGGCGTATTAGAGCTAAACCTGGGGAAGGAGTGGTGGGAAGATGGAGAGGGCGAAGGAAAATGACGCTGCTATAGGAATTAGAGTATCATGAGAGGTAAATTAATGTTTTTTAAGTACTTGATTTCCTGTAAAGGTATGTACATTTTTAGGTGGTGCAGAGTAACTCTGCAATTCAGAGTAACGATATGCGGATCACTGGACCGTCTCGTAGCAACAACCCTACCCCATGTTGCATAGAAGTTTGATTAGGGTGGGGTGTGGGTCTGTTGTTGTTCACTTTAGTATTCATTGATGCATAGACGTCGTCGAACCAAAAATGATATTTGCCTATCAAAAGGTTCGGATCCTCCTGTCGGACATGTAGGACCCCTGTCGGCAAATTAATGGAGTCTCCGTAGTCACAAGGAACTTCAGTCGAGTAACGTCACTACCCAAGCAACATCCATTATGGAGGGGGTGGGGAGGGGGTATGCGAATATAAAGGCTATGAGCGTTTATCTGTTTATCTAACATAAACGATGCTACAAAAAACAATCAAGATTTTCACATCAATTATGATTTTCTAAGTTTGAGATTACTACATAAGGAATTCTAAGACAAATTTATGGACATGTCACATGATTTGAACCAGCAACTCTAGGGTTGGATGGCTGACATCTTTAAGTCAGGCTACGGAGAGAAAACATTATTTTGATATGTTGGAGAACTGTTTTTTCTAAGACAGAAAAAAATGTTTGACGAAAAACTGGGGAATGGTGAATGAGATACAGATTTTTGCGATAACCGCCCTTTTTACACCTTTTACCCCATTTTTTAAATATTCAAAAATCTGTATCTCATTCACCTTTCCCAGTTTTTCGTCAAACAATTATTTCTGTCTTAGAAAAATCAGTTCTACAAAACATTTGTTGTTTGTACAAAATTTGTTTTTCCTCCGGAGACTTAAACAAATCACCACTTTCTAGGTATACCAACCTGTACATCCGGTCGCTTGAACTATTATTCTGTTTTGATGTTTTTATTGAATTTAGTTCATCGGGTTTAAATGTGCAGTTTAGTGCTGAGTGATGGTCAAATACACTGTGATGTTAAAAAAAATGTATGTCATTGCCACAAACCATAATATACTTACGTAGGCAAATGTTTTTCCAGGCCCAGACCAAAACTGAATTCATTAACGAGAGTAAAGAGTTTGAAATGTGTAAACTACAACAATAAATAACTGCCAATAATAATCTATTGATAGATATTCACAAAGAATGTGAGACAAGCAGACATGATCCTATAATTCTAACGTCATTCGTTGATAATCGAATAAAGTTTGAATATAGGCCTAGAATCACAATAATGACTTGTATCACTTTCTTTGTCGTTTCATACTAAAAATATTCACGTTTCAATCATCAATCCAGAAGTTAAATGGTTATAAATAAATGACAATACCACAATTGTAGACCTACATGAAGTATAATACAATTCCTTTCGAATTAGTGAATGGCATTGATAACTGCGATTTCCATGTCCATTGTGACTCATTTAATTTAGGCAGTCACATTTCATTTCTATAACTACAAGTAGACCTTTCCTTGGCCTTTTTTTTTTTTTTTTTTTAACAGAAGATCCTTAAACAGCTGCGCTTTTACCATACATTTCCAATTTAACATATCGGGAGGTGGTTGATATTTTTTACAGTACGTTAGTTCAATAGTAATTAAACACTTCGATTCGCCATAATTTATCAGATTTTCTTATATTGGAACATAAAGAGTACTGTATTTGTTACATAACACGTCAGATAGCAAAACATCATTCCAGTGCGCGTACTAGGAGTCCTGAAGTGGGAATGCTAATGGGAAGGGGAGGGGCGCAAAAGTTAAAAGGGGTGGGTGGTTGGCTCGATGCAGTTGATGGAGCGCTACCTCACAGAATTCGATTGTCGAAATAGCATTTGCAGCTACGACTTAACGCAGGCTCTGTGGTTTAGTGGGTTATGACACCAGGCTATCTGGTGATCGTGGATTCAAATTCCAAATATTGAGCTAACTTGTGTGTTACTATTTTATACTGGCATTCTGCTGACTGTTACCGTTCTTTAATTCGCATAAATTATAGAGGAAAACGCTAACCTATATCTCTGATAGAGTACTGTAATTAAAGATGACCAAATAGTGACGTTGTTATGATACTAATACGATCCTTTTTACAACGAAAAACATAGGCTAATATTTCAACATTTAGCCAAATAATCAGCGGTTTGAGACTGGGGGAATTTAGAGGATGTAAGGTCATAATATCGTTATTCTAATTCATTACGGTATAATCCACAATTTGCCAACTCTAATTAAAGATAATGCCCACTAAATCTAGGCCTAATATAAGCCTAGATATAAAAAGTGAAAAGCCTATAAATTTAATTTTAGTTATTAATACTCAACTGAAGATTTCAACAAGAAAACGTACATTAACATAATAGGCAGGTCTAGTTTTGTACGGTGTAGTTACTCTTAACTTTTTACGCGTTCCAAAAACAGAAAAAGGCCAACAGGTGAACAATGGCACTGATCACCACAGGTAATAAGTCAATTTTTAGGTAATAAATTGTAATGAAATTATATGATAAGCTTTAACTGAGATAACTATATAGTTGTTTCAGCTTTTAAAAACCCGAATGCCATTGGTCAGAATTAAATGTTGTAATACTTAAACGTTGCAGCTTATTTGTGCATGTTACTGAAAGGAAACCAATTTTAAGCGTTTAATTATGCATGACTTGACTTACATTTAGCGCTGAATGAGTCTGAAACATTATAAAATATGCCGTGATAAAGTTATTGTTATTAATCCTATAGCTTTTAAGGATTATAGGATTATTCGGCATGCGGATGGTGTTAATAACGTTTCAATTCATGATGGTTTAAGCGAGACTTTTGTTGGTACCTTATTTAGTGAACTCTCCGACCGCCAATGGTGATTAAAATAAAATAAAATTTTATTTTTGGGCAGTTAGTGCATTCTCCGCCAAGAAAAATTAAAATTTCATAAATAAATTGTTATATTTATATCACCCGTTCCCTAAAATCTCCAAAAATAAGTTATGATTTCTTATCTTATTATATAAATTTAAAGTAGGCCGCTTTATCAATCTCACTACTACAGTGATTTATTCATCAATTAAATTTTATTTCATTTTCCAATGGCGTATCTAGAGGTGGACGGGGGTAAAAAACTCGCATCTCTCAGTCGTCCCCTTCCCCCGTTAAAAATGTTCAAAGCAAAATCACACTCAAGTAGATGATGACCATCAATTCATACCACTTTATTTTGAAAGCTAGCGTCGCCTCACTTAATTATCGATCCCTTCCCATTTCATCTTCGTACCCCCTATCCCTTCCTCATTTCAAGACTATGCCACTGAGACGGACTACACTCTAGATTTCGTATCTTGTTATGCTGTATTTCTAATTGTTTCTGTGTGTCATCGATGATCAGGTTTTCTAGTATTTATTAGGTGGATTTTGGAAAGAACTCTTAAGAACGAGGTTCTCAGTCTGGCACAGAGCCATACTCTAATAGAGTAATAATGTATCTGTTCCCTGCTATAACTGTTGTAGGCCTACATACTCGCGCGAATAAGCGCCCGACGCTTAAAATATTTTTGGCTCTTTTTGAGGGGCGCTTGAGGATTTAATTTATTAGGAGAGGGGCGCTTATTCGCGCGAGTACCGTGTAGGAGGAAATCTACTATAGCTAGATAGTATACAGGAACTCTACTATCTTTCTACTAGATAGTAATACACAGCGCCACCAGCGACAAATTCAATATCCTTGCAACCAAATTTATTAATCTTGACAGAAAAGTGAGAACGCATACGAGAGTTGCAAGCATTGAAGAGTGATCGGTCATGCACACTGATCAACGCAACATTTGAATTGTGGATTTAACCCGGTAAATTCATCAAAATTATTTTTTGGGATGTTATTGGTAAGCATCATTCTTAAGGTAAATATTCCTTTTTCTTATCATTACTCATAAATATCAGCAGTAGATAGACCCTTTTTTTTATTAGGGCCTATAAATAAATAAATATATATATATAAATATATATAATTATATATATATATATATATATATATATATATATATAATATCGAGTATTGTCTAAATATAAAACGAAACAGGCAACGACAATGTTCATAATCGTGTGCCATTTAATACTTATCCTTTAATGATACACGGTAATAGGCCTATTTTGATTCGGTAGGCCAGACAACAGCCCCCTGGGTATATTAAAGTCCAAAAATATTCCAAGTGGAAATTATAACGTACGTTGTTCACTAATTCGTTTTCATAATTAAAAATTAAGTTCTTAATTATTTTAGTTGTATAGTTCTAACATGAGTCCGGACCCTGTGGTCTGTTTTCGTTAGATTGAACTCTATGGTTAAATATTTTGCTTAGGCCATTTCTGGCCATTCCTTTCCTGTAAACAGTCCTCGATGCTGATATTTTATTCAATATCTTGAGATATAGGCTTTACTGCCTACCAAAAAAGAAAATAAAAAACGGAAACCCCCTCAAATATTCAGTTAAAATCTTAATTTGCAATTAAATGACGGTTCACTCGCCCTACAATCAGTTTCTTGGTTGAGATGCTAATAAGCAATTAGTTGCGTATCATACAATAGTGAAAATTATTATACGAAGGTTAGATTAATGCATACATAGATTTATACTGTAATTCTGTTATGTGTCGCTGGGAATAAATTCTTTAGTATCTGCGGTACTGTAAAGCATGGCGGTATACTACAGTGGTATCAGTTGTGGAGCTGGCATCATTTGAAAAGGGTCAAGCATCACCATTTCCTGACGACCTTGTTCTCAACCAAATTTATATTTCCTTTTCCGTTCTCTTTAATTAGAAATTTGCTTCTTAATCACTTACACTTTTTTTTATTTTTTTAAAGAACACATTTTATAAGAAAACTGAGGCTGAAATTGCTTAAAAATTAAGAACAATATAAGAACAAATTGAGGCTGAGGTAAAATGTCTAATGAGATTTTTATATTTAAAAACTGAAACCCCCTATATTTAAAAACCAAAAAATTATATCTACTACCTTGTGTGCAGTAGGTAGGTAATACCCTCTATAATGCAGGACAGTAAGTGTACAACCTGTCATTTTGGGCCATTTTTACCGGGGCAATTTTTCTGTGGCCATATTTTCAGGGGCCCTTTTTTCAGGGACCATTTTTCCCGGGGCCACTTTTTACCTACATTCCAGTACAGTGTATACTGCTGTACAATAAACATTTTATATGTTTGAAAAGTGTGTATTTAAGAACAAAATAAGAACATTTTGAGCCTTAAATCGGCCAAAAAATAAGAATACTGAGCCTGAGCTAAATTTTACTGGTTCTTATTTAAAAAAAAAGTGTATTTTGACTATAAATATTTACGTTTTACTTTTAATCCTCGCTTAGTATAACGGAGATTTCCAGCCATCCTTTTCCCACCACAAAAGTGCTGTTTTCAGTATTTTTGCTTTTCAACCTACAGACCTTTAAGTATGCCCTGTATAAGAAGATGAATTGGTTTTTCAGATGTCTTTATGTGGTTGTTTATTTCCTGAACTTATTAACCTACCTCATACCTTGGGTTAAAAATCACTAGCTTATAATTTCTGGTTACGCCATGGTACAAGAATAGAACATCCATGTACATATTGGCCTACTTTCATCAATCAACAAGATAAACTTGCGTTTTTATGACGATGTTGGTTTGAGACGCGTCATGATCAGCAGTTTATAGCGTTTCTACACCTTCCTGACTTCAGTTTAACATAAAAAAATTGCCCGTACGTAACAATTTAGTCAGAGCGGAAATGTGCATCATTCCTCTGTCAGTGGTTTCTTAAGCCCTGAGCAGGCTATCAAATTGTATTGGACGAAACCATGTGACAAGCCTAAATATGGTCATGATGACATCACATCATGACCATATATGGGCGTTTAACCGTTTTTGTCAAATAAAATTTGATAATGTGAACAAGACTTTATTGCATGCTATCATTACTCTGAGTATCCCGCGAGTTGTGCACAAATAAATTACATTGATTACTCATGTTAAAATAAACGGGAATATAGGTACGTGCGTTTCGTAATACAGAATTAACGGAATGTTTTATTATTTGAAATATTACATACTACAAGCAGTGCTTACTTGGTAAATTTTTGCATTTTCTATTTATAATTTTACATAATAATTATATATTAGTATTAACACTGTAATAATACACGTTATGAATATAAACGTTGTAAATTAAATTAAGATTGAACTCTCTTACATTGGAACAAGTCCAAGAAACACTTGGCCTACATTGTACATATAGAGTAGGCCTACATCTTTCTACGTTTAAATGAGAAAATTAGTATTTTCCTAACTTTTATATCAATATTTTTTGGTGAATAATTAAATAAAGAAATTTAGATTCAATATCTACAACTTATACATTATTGTTTCATATTTGGAATTGGTGTAATTTTGTTTTTGTTGTACTTTTAGATTACTTCTAGATTGCATTTTATTAATGTGTTATTTTTTAATTACATAATATTATTTAAAGAACTGATGCTCAAATCTGTGCTTAAATTTAAATTCATTCCATTTTATTAACAGTTTCAATTGTTTCAAACATGGTAACTAATTATATCTCCTTAAAATTACTCTACTGTATATATAGCATTTAGGCTATAATCATCAGGGTTTACGTTATCACGTTCTTTTCATTGGGTGATAGCTAACTCTAAATGGAGTGACGTTTGATTGAGTAATACACTTTCACACCCTTTGTTAAAAGAAAGCGAAACAAAATTTGTATAGTCGCACAAGCATATTATATTGCTTATATAATGGACCTTTCCACTAAGCCCCGCCCCTTAGATATTGTTGGTAAGATACCACAAGACAACAGTGTTAAAGAATACGCCAACACGTGCGTTTGTGAGACAACACGTGCGTTTGTGAGACGCGTGCGTATTCCTAGCGCTGTTCTGATTAGTCAGTTGTCAAGTTTGATTGACACTCCGGAAGCGTCTATTGTTTAATGCGGTTAGGACATTCAATGTGTATTCACACCCTTCTTTCCACAAAAAAAAAAAAAAAAATGGCATTGCAGATATAACCGTAAGGACAGACTTTAGAAAGGACTCATTCTAGTTTAGTCTATCATGATGAATATGAAGATGCAAGTAAAAGTTGACTTGATCGTTTGTGTGGATAGAGTTATATAAATAACTCTTCCATCTTTGCTTACCAAATCCTGAAACCGTCTCCCCAAAAATATATAGTTTTGTTGTTGTTGTTATTTTTTCGTGTAGGCCTCCATTCAATAGGCCTATAAGATCTTTCCAGAGATGTAGTCATATGGTACGGTAACTCGAATGATTGAGTAACACGTTAAAAATACTTTACCTAGGCCTATATAATTGACCAGGCATACTAACCAGGCCTTATAGCTTGAAAAGACATGATAGCAGTTTTTATCAATTAAATAACATATAAACACTGACGGTACATTCGAAATAGGAACATATGTATTAGGTACTAGGCCTGATGCCAAACGCTGACTAAGCGGCGTTCACATCACGAAAATATATAGGTCTTCGTCGAAATTTTGTATAATTATAGGCCTATGCAGTATATGTCAGTTTGTATATAGTAGCGATCATAGGGACTGACAATATTGAGACTGCTGCTTGAAGTTCACGAAGAGTTGATCATCACGTCGCCAGGAAATACGTTTTGTGATGCGGAAATAATGTATTTAATTCACAGGGTTGAAATAATGCAATTAATGTGATAATGTTTTTGTGACATGTTAGTTAGTTGTGCCAACATTTTATTTTTATTTGGAGTAAAACATAATTCGGTAGGACTACGCATCTAGTGACTGACGATTGATGACACATGTATGACTATGACACAGTGGAGAATATAATTTGAAATTTCCATCTCTTAAATTAATTGGATGATGAAGGATTTTCTTGTCAAGCTTAAAGAGTGAGTCACGTGGAAAGATTATAGCATAACGCTGCGTTTCAGTAATAATTCGATATTCTTTCAAATTATGCTTGAATAATTTTAGTGTCCACACGATAGACCCGACAGCCCCAGGGTCTCATCCATGAAACTTTGCATCTTAACTCCAGGCTCCAAGGGTTCGTAACCAGACTTTTCCTACCCTTTTCCACAGTTTGTAAATATTCTGTATCTCATTAATCGTTCCCGAGTTTTTCGTCAAACGAACTTTTTGAAAAATCAGTTGTGCAAAATATCAAAATGTCCTCGCCTCCTATCCAAAGCGTGGATCCAATGTGCGCCTAATTAATCCAATTCACAGTCAGCCTGAGAAACAGATGGTTGCTTATTCATAACCATATTCGCAGCTTTTGTGCGTTCCGTGTGGCTTTTCACTTTCCATTTGATCTGAGACTTTGGCATAATTTAAATTATGTTGGTTGGTCTTTAAAGCTCTGTTCACACTAACAAATTTTCTTTTACAAAAAAAAAAAATACAAAAAAAAAACCAAACTATTGTATGCCCATATATAGTCACCATGTGAATATTTATGGTCATGATGTGATGTCACCATGACCATATTTATAAGCATATCACATGTTTTGTAAAATTAGATTTTACTGTGAAATATTTTATTATCATCATCATCATCATCATTATCACCATAATCATCATCATCACAACAACCACCACCACCACCACCATCATCATCATCATCATCATCATCATCATTATCATCATCATCATCATCATCACCCTTCATCATCATCATCATCATCTTCATCATCATCATCATCATCATCCTCATCATAATTATCATAATCTTCTAAAACCTTGTTCAATAACACCGCAGGTTGAATGGAAAAAAGGGACAGACAAAATTATAAAGGAAATACGGGTTGTTGCTTAACACTTATTGGGTTTTAAAACAATCAGCGCATACTACGTTGTTCAGCACCCGAATGTTTATGATGTACAGGAATTTTTATTGAGGTTTTTAAATTATTTTTGATCTCCACACACGGCTAAAAACAAAATGCGACAGATCAAAATTTTTAGCTAAAAACATTGTTTGGCCGGGTGCGTCAGACTAATAAATTAACGTGGATGCGCCGCATTTAAGCTCAGATTTAAGCTCAAACGTTTAAAGTATGACGAAGGAATGCAAACATAAACTTTATTACGACGACCTGAACTCATAAAAAGTTTGCTTTGAATTTATATTGAGCCTTTGGGGTTGGGTAAATGACCACCGTATACGCCCGATATTAACCTTTTAAAATTGTTTGATATAAACAACAGCAACAATCATAGGATTATGGAAAACTAAAGCAATTGCAACAAAATTAAATAATTATTCACAGTGCAAATAACATAAATCATGTCCGTCGCCCCTAGGAAAACTTAAAGCGTACCGATGTGTTACCATTTAAAAAAAAAATTCACCTATACGGTGCTCGATTCTCAGCTGCAAAAGTAAAACTGAAACCATTCCATTAATAACGGCGTACATAACTAAGAGGAAATTAAGATTGAAAGGTGGTAGATGCTGGAAAAAATCATAGGCCCAATATAGGCCTGTGAGTATACAGCACCATAGTATCGTAAGTGACCTTAACGCAAAGAAACCGTAAAATCTAATAATATCACCGTTATTCATTTTCCGATATCTCATCGCGTTATTCTCGCTAATCAATGGATAGGTCAATAGTACTGTACCTTTTCCAACGCACCAAAATATAATTTATTGCACTGTTCAAATAACTTAGTCGTTTTTAGGTGTGTTTACACTCTCTTTGATGTGAATTACCGAAATTGTTATTGTATTCTTAGATGTTACTCTGATTGGTTGATTATTGTTTTAATTTGGTCTTTTTTTAAAATTTATTTTTTAACCTAATACCTAGTAAGTATAGTATTTTTAAATTATTGATTGATCTCCGATATTTCTATACACGTCTGTCTTATATCTATGACCTATACTTTTATTATGTAAATACTTTAAACATTTTTTTTGCAATAAAAATGAAATGAATTTAAATTGAATTGATTTGAATTGATTCTAATAATCTCTTGTATTTTTTTTTTCTCGTATTTATAGGAATGTATGTATACTCTGTAACATGAATAGGATAAAGACACCGATTGGTATAGGCCTGTGCCTGAATATGATTAGGAATACAAAGTCGACATTGTTGTTCTGTCTCATTATTAGTACTCTTGGAATAACGTTCTTTTCTACGAAGCAAACGCCTGCTGCATTTCGACACAGTGATTTTCCTTCCCTACGTAAGTATATAGCCTACTCAAACATTTTTTTTCACACATAGAGGTGATTGGGAGAAGTATGTGCTGGTGGACACGTATTTGCGTATTATCACCCAATTTCCTCTTAATAAAAGATGTGTATGAACAAAGTTTATTATTACGCACAATTTGAGAACTCTCGGTATTGGTTCCAAAATTATAATGCCATAAAAAAAGATATAAAGAATAAAAAAATAATAATAAAAAACACAAAATATATAATGTATGGCATTACGATACAATATATAGTTATT